TCCTCCTCCTCCTCCTCCTCCTCCTCCTCCTCCCCCTCCACCCTCGGGCCGCGACCTTCGACCCTCAAAGATAATGGACCCTCCGACCTTCGACCCTCGAGCCTCGACCTTCAACCCTCGAGGCTCGAGGCTCGACACCGCCTGCTGCGCCGAGGCAATCTCCGCGCTCGGGGGGAGCGGCGCCGAGCCATCGTCGCCGTCTTTGCCGTCATCGCCATCGCCATCCTCGACTCGAGGATCGAGGGCCCTCGATGCTCGAGGGGCGAGGGTCCTCGATCCTCGAAGGTCCTCGAGGACCAGACGGAAGTGGAGGAGGCGGAGGAAGCAGGGAAAAGAGGAGTGGGTACATTCTCTCTCTCTCTCTCTCTCTTCCTCGTTCTCTCTCTCTCTCTCTCTCTCTCTTTCTTTCTTTTTCTCTCTCTCTCTCTCTCTCTCTCGCTCGCCTGCTCCCCCCTGTATGGTGGCAACAGCTCGGGGAAGAGGAGCGCAGCCAGTGCAGGCCTGGCGCAACGGGCAAAACGGCGCGAGCACCGAAGGGACCGAGCACCTCCAGCCCTCGCTCGTCGAGGCTCGCTGATCCTCGAGGCTCGAAGGTCCTCGACGTTCGACCCGCCCTCGACCTTCGAGGCATCGGGGACCCTCGAGGCTCGAGGCCCCGCGATGTTCGACCCACCCTCGACCCTAGGCATCGAGGACCCTCGAGGGAACGAGGCCCCGCGACGCTCGACCCACCCTCGACCCTCGAGGGATCGATGCGGCCCTCGAGGGAACGAGAGCCCCGCGACGCTCGACCCACCCTCGACCCTCGAGGGATCGATGCTGCCCTCCTCCTCCTCCTCCCCCTCCTCCTGCTCCTCCTGCTCCTCCTGCTCCTCCTCCTCCTCCTCCTCCTCCTCCCTCCTCCTCCTCCTCCTCCTCCTCCTCCTCCTCTCCCTCCTGCTCCTCCTCCTCCTCCTCCTCCTCCCCTCTCCTCCTCTCCTCCTCATCCTCTCCTCCTCCTCCTCCTCCTCCTCCTCCTCCTCCTCCTCCTCCGCCTCCTGGTCCTCGAGCGTCAACGTCCCGAGCCCTTCCGAGCCGCCCGCGAGGCTCGAGGCTCCGCACCGCGCCTGCTGCGCCGAGGCGATCTCCGCGCTCAGGGAGAGCGGCGCCGAGCCGCGGCGCGCCAGCGCGCCCGCGCCGGCGGAGCGGGCCACCATCTGGCGGGCAGCGGCCCCGCCGTTTTGGGGCGCGGGGGGGGCGCGGCGGGGGCGGGGGGGGAGCGGCGGGCCGCCGAGGCGGCTGCGAAAGGGAGTGAGGAGGAGGAGGAGGAGGAGGAGGTGGAGGAGGAGGAGGAGGAGGAGGAGGAGAAGGAGGAGGAGGAGGAGGAGAGGAGGAGGAGGAGGAGGAGGAGGAGGAAGCGGGGAGGAGGCGGAGGAGGAGGAGGAGGAGGAGGAGAAGGAGAGGAGGAGGAGGATGGAGGAGAGGAGCGAGGAGGAGGAGGAGAGGAGGTGGAGGAGGAGGAGGAGGAGGAGGAGGAGGAGGAGGGGAGGAGGAGGAGAGGAGGAGGAGGAGAGGAGGGGGGAGGAGGAGGAGGAGAGGAGGAGGAGGAGGAGGAGGAGGAAGAGTAGACGAGGAGGAGGAGGAGGAGGAGGAGGGAGGGAGGATGGGAGGAGGAGCAGGAGGTTGGAGGCGGAAGAGGTTGGAGGGGGGGGAGGAGGAGGAGGAGGACGACGACAAGGTGGGAGAGAGGAGGAGGAGGAGGAGGAGAAGGATGAGGAGGAGGAGGAGGAGGAGGAGGAGGAGGAGGAGGAGGAGGAGGGAGAATGAAGAGGAGGAGTGAGCGAGTGAATGAGTGAGTGAGTGAGTGAGTGAGTGAGTGAATGGGTGGGTGGGTGGGTGGATGGCTGGGTGGGTAAGTGGGTGGGTGGGTAAGTGGGTGAGTGGGTGAGTTGGTGAGTGGGTGAGTGGGTGAGTTGGTAGATCGAGTCCGACTTAACTGCTAGCTTCGATTCTGATTCAGTGCCCCGAATCATTCAAGACTCAGGTTCCGAATAAGATCACTGGCGTAAAAGCCGTGGAAGAGGGAGAAGGGAGGATGAAGAGGAGGGAGGACGGAGGGAGCAGGAGTTGGAGGAAGCAGGGAAACCAGAAGAACGTGAGGAGGAGGAGAAGGAGGAGAAAAAGGAGGAGGTGGGCTCCTTCTCTCTATCCTGCTCCTCCTCTGTATGGTTGCAGCTGCTCAGGGAAGAAGAGCGAAGACGATGTAAGCCTAGCGCAAAGCTCAAAATGTATGAGTAGTAGTAAGGGGTTGGACGAGCGGGAGGAGCAGGCGGGGGCCCAGACGAGGGAAGGACGGGAACAGGAGGGGCATCAGGAGGAGGAGGTAGGGATGGACGCCCTCTCAATATCCTCATCCTCCTCCTCCTCATCCTCCTCTTCCTCCTCATCATCATGAGCAGAATCAGCATCCTCATCGTCATCAGCAGCATCATCATCATCATCATCAGCAACATCATCATATGCAGCAACAGCATCATCATCATCATCATCAGCAGCAGCAGCAGCAGCAACAGCAGCATCAGCATCCTCGTCATCATCAGCAGCAGCATCATCAGCAGCATCCTCATCAGTATCGCCATTACCATCATCATCACCACCACCACCACCATTCTCCCCATCACAACCATCAACATCATCATCACCGCCACCATCACCACCACCACCCAGCATCATCATCATCATCACCATCAGCAGCATAATCATCATTAGCACCGTCATCATCATCAGCAGCCGCATCGTCAGCATAAGCCTCGTCATACTCATGATCATCTCAATCACCACCGATATTAACATCCTCATCAGCATCGGTATCCTCCTCAACAACACCATCCTCACCATCATCGCCGTCATCAGCATCACCACCGTCATCACCACCATCATCACCAGCATCAACACGTCAATCATCGGCAGCAGCAGCATTATCAGTGTCATCAACGCCGCCATCATCATCATCATCATCATCATCATCATCATCATCATCATCATCATCAGCAGCAGCAGCATCATCATCACCATCATCAGCAGCAGCCGCAGCATGGTCGTCAGATTCGCCAGCATCGTCATCATCATCGTCGCCGTCATCGTCATCATCGTCGGCGTCGTCATCATCATCATCATCATCATCATCATCATCATCATCATCATCATCATCATAACCATCGTCTTCACAATCATCCGCATCAGCATCACCATCATCATTACCAGCAACAGCAGCAACAAAACAACCACACCAACAACAGCAATTACAGCAACAACCACAAGAACAACAAGAACAACACCAACAACAGCAACAACAACAACCTCAACAACAACAACAACAACAACAACAACAACAACAACAACAACAACAGCATCAGCATCGGCATGAGCATCATCCTCCTCATCCTCATCAGCATCAGCATCCCCGTCATCATCACAATCCTCAGCATCGGCACAGTCGTCGTCATCGTCAGCATCACCACCATCAGCATCATCATCGTCGCCAGCATCGTCATCGTCGTCATCATCATCGCCATCATCGTCCCCATCCTCACCCTCATCCTCAACATCATCACGCCATTGACTACCACAAGGACGTTGCAGGGCAACTCCTCCCCGGGACGGGACACCTGCCCGCACGGCGCGCCCACAGGGCGCCCGCCCTTCCACGGGAGCACCTCGCGTGCTGAGCAGAGGCGCGTGTACGGACTCCTGGGGAGGGGACGCCGGACGGGAGGATGTGTTGCAGCACGGTTGATGCACCTTACGCTTACTCTGGTCCAACCTTCTTCTCCTCCTCCTCCTCCTCCTCCTCCTCCTCCTCCTCCCCTCCTCCTCCTCCTCCTCCTCTTCCTCCTCCTCCTCCTCCTACTCCTCCTCCTCCCCCTCATCATCATAACCATTATCGACATCACCCTCATCCGCATCCTCATCCTCATCCTCATCCTCCTCCTCCTCCTCATCATCATTATCATCATTCCCCTTCCTCCTACTACCCTCATCCCCCTACCACCCCTTCCTCCTACTCGCGACTGGATTGTTCCCAATCATCGTGTGTTGTTGGGCTCTCATTTTTAATCGACAGCGCCCCGCTTTCCCCCTCACTCCTCATACCCTTCCTGCCTCCTCCCATCCTTGCATCTGCCCTCCGCATGTCAACCATTTCAACACCATAATGGCCACACCCTTCGTGGCCAAATAGGGAGCCCCATCGAAGGCCACAACAACACAATCCACATGCGCCCCCCCGCCCCCTTTCGCCATACCCCTTATTCGTTTCGTGCCCCCATCTGGGGCTCAACCGAAGGCCCCCATGGCACAGTCCACATGCGTCCCCCCGTCCCATTCCGGCTCACCCCTCACACGTTTCGTGGCCCCATACGGGGCTCAACCGAAGGCCTCAGTGGCGCAGTCCACATGCGCCCACCCCTGCCACATTTCGGCACACCCCTCACACGATTCGTGGCAAACTAGCGAGCCCCACCGAAAGCCACAGTGGCACAATCAACATGCGTCCCCCGCCTCATTTCGGCGCACCCCTGACACGCTGCGTGGCCCCACAGGGAGCTCCATGGAAGGCCCCAGCGGCACAATCCACATGCGCCGCCCCGCGTCAGCTCGGCACACTCATCACGTGTCTCGTGCCCACACATGGAGCCCAACCGAAGGCCCCAATGGCAATCCACATGCGCCCCCCCGCCAACAGTGGCACAGTCCACATGCGTCCCCCCCGCCCCATGTCGGCGCACCCCTCACACGTTTCGTGCCCACGTCAAGAGCTCCACTGAAGGCCGCAAAGGCACAGCCCACAGACGTCCCTCCGCCCCATTTCGGAACACCCATCACATGCTTCGTGGCCCCACGGGGAGCACCATCCTCGGCCACAGTGGCACAGTCCACATGCGTCTCCACGCGACATTTCGGCAAATCCCTCACACGATTCGTGGTCACATAGGGAGCTCCACCGATGGCCTGTGGCCCAGTCCACATGCGCCCGCCCCACTCATTTCGGCACACCCCACACGCTTCATGGCCCCACAGGGAGCTCCACCGAAAGTCCCAGTGGCGCAGCCCGGATGCGTCCGCCCCACCCATGTCGACACGCCCCTTACACGTTTCGTGGCCCCAGAAGGAGCCCCACCGGAGCTCCCAACGACAGGGTCCGCATGCGCCCGCCAACCTCATGCCGGCACACACCATCACACGTTTCGGTGGCTCCACAGTTTGGACGCCCGAAATGGGCACGGAAGCAATGGGCACAATGCCCAACAGCAAGCGTTGTTCCGAACCGACAGCGGCCGATGTCTGGCAGGCGGCCTTCCGTCTCGAATGGAAACAATCCGCGGCGACGCCGACAGCGAAATCCTGCTCAAAATGAACAAGAACTGCTGCTGGTCTTTGTGCCCATTCTTTCCGTACCCATGTCGGTCGTCCCGACACAGGGAGCTCACCAAAGGCCCCGGCGGCGCAGCCCGCATGCGTCCGCCTGTCCCATGTCGGCGCCACCCCTCACACGCTTGGTGGCTCCGCAGGGAGCTCCGCCGAAGGTCCCAGTGGCGCAGCCCGCATGCGTCCGCCCCATTTATTTGCGCACACCCCTCGCACGCTTCGTGGCCACATAGGGAGCTCCACCGAAGGTCCCAGCGGCGCAGCCCGCATGCGCCCGCCCCACTCATTTCGGCACACCCCTCACACGCTTCGTGGCCCCACAGGGAGCTCCACCAAAGGTCCAGTTGAGCAGCCCGTATGCGTCCGCCCATTTCGGCGCGCATCCCAACGGTCCGTGGCCCCAAAGGGAGCTCCACCGAAGGCCCCAGCGGCACAGTCAACATGCCTCAGCCCCATGTCGGCACACCCCTCACGCATCTCGTGGCTCCATAGGGGCATAGGGGGGGCTCCACCGAAGAACCCAGCGGCCATGTTCGCAAGCGACAGCCCCACCCATTTCGGCACCCCCCTCACACGTTTCCTGGCCCCGTAGGGTGCTCCACCAAAGGCGCTGCTCATAACGACGGCACTCATGCTGGCCAGCAACAAAAGTTGGCGCGGTCGAGAGCAGGCACGGAGGAAGAAGAGGAAGATAGGGACGACACGGAGGAGAGGGGGGAGCCGCAGCAACAGAAGGGGGAAGGGGGGGGGCGAGCACGCGAGGACGAGAAGGGAAGGGAGGAAAGTGAGGGGAGGGGGGAGAGGCGGAGGTCCACGAGGAGGGGGGGAGGGGGAAGGGAACGACAAGGATCGGTCGGAAGAAGTGGGCAGAAGCATGAGGTAGGAAGGCGCTGAAAGAAGGTTGTTTCTCCGCCCGCCCCCTAAAAGAGGGGGGACGAAGGAGAACTCATCGAGGACTGAAGTAAGGAGGCGCCCCAGGTAGAATGGGAATCGGGTGGTCCTGCTTCCAACGACCAGTAAGGAGGCGAGAAGAGAGGAGGTAGAAGTAGGGGACGGAGAGAAGGGGAGGGGGGGACGTCAAACCTCACAGCGCCTGGACCGTTATCCGTGGCGGCGGGTTCAAACATTTGGCTTTTCGAATAGCATCGTCCCCTCGGAAGATATTGTGGACTCCTCGCAGAGGTCGGACAAGTAGCACCTCTGCTGGGCACTCTTGTTCCCGCGCGGGTACCAAGTAAATGCCTTGCACATGGCGCTTCGCTCGCATGTCTCACGACACTGCTGGATCTCGGCAACCCCTCGCTCCGCCTTGCTGGCCTTGCCATCCCGCCTTGCTGGCCTTGCCATCACAGAACTCTCCCTGATAGTAGCTCCAATCTCGCAAGGGGCATGTCCCGAACTGCATTTTGACCATCTGGTTATTCCCCGTATTCTCGCTGACAACATTAGCATCGAAATGTCTCGCGTCCTTCAGAAAGAACTCATCGTTGTCCCAACTGGTCTTGGAGCCGTACACAATTGCCCCAGCCAGCCGATGTGCAACATGCTGAACCATGTTCTTGGCATCGATCACCTTGCCATTGAGGCACACATCCAACATCACGGTTGATCCCCCAGCAGGGTCGAGCAGCAGATGGAGATAAACGGCGTCGAGGAACTCGTCTGAAGTCTCGTCCTCAACGCTCTAGTCGGAACTTTCCTCGCTGCCATCGCCCCACTGGAAGCTGGTGGGGTCGCCATGCCCAGCCAGCACCAAGCGTTTGATTTTAATGTCTGAAGGTAGGGACCGACTGACTCCCGTTGCTTCCTCGACACTGCTGCCCCAATAAAACTTGACCGAATAATGCTCGCTTTGTCCGTGCAACCGCTTGCATACGACCCCGTCGAACATAGCCTCGCTGCAGAGCCCGAAGGCGTTGTTGCGGTCCTCTCCAGGGCACAAATAGAACGCAATAGTCTTGGGGGACGCGGAGTTCTGATATTCTATGTGGTTGCCCCACTCGTCTTCCTCGCTGCAAGGCTTCCCATACTTGACCCCAATCTGGACGCGATCCCAGAACTCCTTCTGCTCTCGGCTGGTGCACGTTGTGCCGAGCAGCGTGTCATTATGGGTATCCAGCGCAGTCGTCTCTAGCAACTCCGCAGGCAACGAGCGAGCAGCGGAGGCGACTCTGAACTCCGTTTGGGCCACAGAAAGAGCCAGGGCGACACTAAGCATTGCAAGACCCATGGGAACGGACGGATAGAAGCGACGCACTTGCGGAGACGGAAACGTGCTGGCCGACACCGCTAGGATTGCTGCTTTGTAGACTGGAGCGGGAACGGGGCTCGATCTCCCCCTTATTAGGCTCCTCGCATTATTCCTCCGACTCCTTTGTAGGTGTCAAAGGGGAGAAACAGAGGGGAGAGGAGAAGGAATCCCTGCTATGATATGGCAACTCACGCTGGCTCCAACTCACTGGCGATAAAAACAAACTCCATTGCCCCTCAGCAACATGACTCCAAGCACTCGGACACTGCAACGGCATGACCCGGGCACTCTGCGCACGCATGGCGATCATTGTGTGAATGGCACCAGCTCGCAATACCGTTTTTCCAGGGCACCGCGCGCCAGACCTGCCATCCATCCTCTTCCACCTCCATCCTCTTCCACCTGGGAGGGCGTTCGGGCTGTGGGAAGGGGAGCTCGAGCAAGTCCGCGACCTCGGAGGCGCCAGTCCCTGGAGCGAGGCGAGAACGACAGCGCTGAAGAGTGCGAGTCGGAAGCCCTAGCTCGGATAGTTGGCTCTGGACCCCGCGGTTGACGCAAACCCATCATTACCACGCCCGACTAAAACAGGGCTAGGATCGGGATAAATCGATCCAGAGCGTTCCAGAGCGCTCTCAGAGCGTTCCGGAACGCTCTGGAGCGGCCGCGGCGCCCAATACATCCTCCAAACCCGCCGATTCTCAGAGATTTCGAATTATCCCGATCCGATTTTGTCCCGATCTTCGCGTCGTTTTACCGACGCCCTCTCCTTCCCCCCCGTCCCCATGATCCTCCGCTTCCTGCTCTGCATCCCCTCCTCTCCTCCTGTTCCGGCTCCTCGCCCCCCGGACGGCCTTGCTGCTGAAGTCCCCGAACCACGCCTTCGCGGCCCGCGCCTCGCAACCACGGGCGACAGAGGGAGGGGCGGTCCACCCAGAAGCCAGCAGCACGCACCACTCAAAAGAGGACAAGGTACCCATACCGCTACCCTTCGTCCGTTGAGGAGGAGGACGACGAAGAGGAGGAGGAGAAGGAGGAAGAGGAAGAGGAGGAGGAGGGGGCTGATGCTGCTGATGATGAAGATGAAGATGAAGATGAAGATGATGATGATGATGATGATGATGATGATGATGATGATGATGATGATGATGATGATGATGATGATGATGACGACGACGACGACGACGACGACGATGATGATGATGATGGTGATGATGATGATGATGATGATGAGATGATGATGATGATGATGATGATGATGATGTGATGACGATGACGATGCTGTTGCTGTTGCTGCTGATGCTGATGCTGATGCTGATGATGATGATGCTGATGATGCTGATGATGATGATGATGATGATGCTGAATGATGATGATGATGATGATGATGATGATGATGATGATGATGATGATGATGATGATGATGATGATGATGATGATGATGATGATGATGATGATGATGATGATGATGATGATGATGATGATGATGATGATGATGATGCTGATGAAAGCCCCTCGTCGCCACCGCTGGATTCGCCTCGGAATTCTGGTCAGAACGCACCCCGGGAGAGGTCCAGGGAGTGCGGTATCGGCACCTCTCGGTTTCCAAAACCGCTGGACGCTCACGAGCAGGGCATGCCGGGGGCCACGCGCTGGACGAGGCGTGCGGAGGACCAGCGCACCTCGCCGCCCGAGGGCCCAGCGCCAGGAGGATGCGCGGCCACGTCCGCAGCCATCTCTCGCCTGGGACGGCCACATACAGTGGGGGCGTTGCCCTAAGGAACGCTAAATTCGCCGGCCCAACGGGCCAGGGCGTGCTAAGATCTCCGGTACCTGGTTAACAGTATTTCTAGTTCGCGCGCGCGGGGCGGCCCCTGGGGGTCCCCGGACGAAAAGTACCCCGGCAAGGTCCCGGCAAGTCCCGGCAAGGTCGGGCCAGAGATGCCGGAGCCCTGTTACAGGGCCCCAGGACGGGCCAAGAGGTCCCCAAGAAGCCTCCAAGACGGTCCAAGAGGGCCCCGAGACGGCCAAAGATCGCCCGAAGACGCCCAACAGGGCCCCAAGACAGCCCAAGAGGCCTCCAAGACGCCCCAAGGGCCTTCCAAGAGGCCTCCGAAGAGGGCCCCAAGAGGCCAAAATCGTTGATTTTCATTGTTTTTTTCGATGTTTTTTGCGTTCTGGCTTTTTCGGCTTCCGGACGCTCCAAGACGGCCCAAGAGGCCCCCAAGACCGCTCCAAGACGGCCCACGAGGCTCCCAAGACGGCCCCGGAACGGCCCAGGAGGGCCCCCAAGACGGCCCAAGTGCCGCCCAAGACGGACCAAGAGGCCCCAAGACGGGCCCAAGAGGGGCTCAAGAGGGGAACCGAGAACTGAAAAATCGAGCCCTCCGCCCCAGAAGGCGCCCAGGAGGCCCCAAAAAGGCCCCAAGAGGCCCCCAAGAGGCCCCCAAGACGCCCCAAGAGGCGCCCAAGAGGCCCAAAAGAGGCCCCAAGAGGCCCCAAAACGGCCCCCAAGAGGCCCCAAAACTCGGCTAGCCCACAACGGTGCGACAATATGGGCCGGCGGAATGAGCGAAGCGATTAAATTCGCCGGCCCAACGGGCCAGAGGCGTGCTAAGATCTCCGGTAACTGGTTAAGAATTCTCTAGTTCGCGCGCGCGGGGCGGCCCCTGGGGGTCCCCGGACGAAAAGTACCCCGGCAAGGTCCTGAGAGAGTCCCGGGAGGAGTCCCCCAGAGCGCTCCAGGAGCGCTCCATGAGCGCACCAACAGGGCTCCGAGACGTCCCCGAGAGCCCCAAGAAAGGCCAAGAGGCCCCCAAGAGGCCCCCAAGATGGTACACGAGGGGTCCGACATGCCACAAGATCGCTCCAAGACGCCCAAGATAGCCCCCAGACGCCCCAAGAGGCCTCCCAGAGCACTCCCAAGAGGGCCCCCGGAGGCAAAATTCATTGTTTTTCCTTAGGTTTTTGAGAGATTTTGGAGCTTCCACCTTTTCGGTTCCCGACGCCCCAAGACGGCCCCAGAGGCCCCCAAGATCGCCCCAAGAGGGCCCAAGAGGCCCCCAAGAGGGCCCCAAGATGGCCCAAGAGGGCTCGAAGACGGCCCAAGAAGCCTCCAAGACGGTCCAAGAGGGCCCCAAGAACACCCCCAAAGGGGCCCCAGAGAGGGAACACGAAACAAAATTTCGCGCCCTCGGCCCTAAGAAGCCCCTACGAGGCCCCAAGAGGCCCCTAAGAGGCCCCAAGAGGCCCCCACGAGGCCCTCAGGAGGCCCCCAAGAGTCCCCCAAGCGGCCCCAGGAGGCCCCCCAAATGCCCCCCCGAGCGCCCCAGGAGTCCCCCAAGCGGCCCCAGGAACCCCCAAAGCGCCGCATTGACACCAGGCCCTCGGGCAAACGGCAGACATGAGACCGTATGGGCCGGCGGAATGAGCGAAGCGATTCAATAAGGAACGAGGCCCCTTTTTCCCATGAGGTAAAGTTCGATTTCCCATCGAAAACCTAAGGAAAACCTAAGGCAAGCTGCGAAACAATCACGGAAAACGGAGCCCCTCCCCAACGAAAAGGGTTCCTTCTTCAGGGCCCCGACTGTCGAGTGCATCCGGCTTCCTGGAACTCCGCCTGAGGCGGGTCCCGGGAGCGAGCCAGTCCGCAATCAGAACAGCTCTTGGGGGAGACGCACTCCCGACTACGGGTGAGGACCTCGCTTGAAACGAGGCAGGTTTGTGCAAAAATGTGCAGCGAAAGTTCCTCACACTCGAGGCGAAGGGGACGAACGGGGGCCTTTACACAATACGACACCGTCTCGGGCAAGACAAGACGTCATGGAATTCCTCAAGCAGGCGAGCTGGGTGGCGTTCCGACGACCACGGGTGTCCACCCTCTCCCCCACCCCCAGCCCCAGAGTCCCAGAATGGGAAATGGACGAGGTGCCCCCGCCCGCGCCCACCACCCTGGCTGGGAGCAGCGCAACAGAATGGCAAAGTCACCCCGCGGCCTGCAGACCGCACGCAACCAATCTACAACATCGCATCCCAGATACAGGGAGCGCGTGCACGTGCTACAAATGGTAGAGCACTATTCTCTCGCTGGGGTCATGACCAGGAACGCACAGCTTCTCCGTACGAACCCCTGGCTGCTCTATCTCTCTCTCTCTCTTTCCCTCTCTGTCTCTCTGTCTCTCCCTCCCTCTCTCTCCCTCTCTCTCCCCCCCTCTCTCACTCTCCAGGACGGTCGCGCCATCAGGCAAGCCGGCACGAGGAGGCCATGATCGAGTGGCGTTAGACAGCATCTCGCGCTAGGTCATTAGCAGTCATGGCAAGAAGTTGCTGGGCCAGCCCATCGCAATACAAAG